CCCTGTCCCCACCTACACTCGGCCCCCACCTGCACCTGGTCCCCACCTACACCCGGTCCCTACCTACACCCGGTCCCCACCTACACCTGGTCCCCACCTACACCCTGTCCCCACCTACATCTGGCCCCCACCTACACCCTGTCCCCACCTACACCTGGTCCCCACCTGCACCTGGTCCCCACCTACACCTGGTCCCCACCTGCACCTGGTCCCCACCTACACCTGGTCCCCACCTGCACCTGGTCCCCACCTACACCTGGTCCCCACCTGCACCTGGTCCCCACCTACACCTGGTCCCCACCTGCACCTGGTCCCCACCTACACCTGGTCCCCACCTGCACCTGCACCTTGTCCCCACCTACACCTGGTCCCCACCTGCACCCGGCCCCCACCTGCACCTGGTCCCCACCTGCACCTGGTCTAACCTGTTACTCTGACTGACCCTTACAAGGACATAAATATCCCATTCCCCCTACTCTGCCCCTCTGGTGCCATTTTGGTCTCAACTCTTCTGCTAGCAGATATAACAATAAATTTATAATTCTTTACCCCTTTTGGCCTCATGTGCTCCTTCAGCGGCCCTAACATTTGGTGCCAAAACCCAGGAGGGTTCCACAGGGAAGGGGAGCCATCATCCTGGCTGCAGTCACCCCGAGTTTGCTACTCGGAGAGCAGGAGGCAGCTGCAGCTCGACCTGAGTTTATCGCCGAATCCTCCTCAGGGACTCGATCGCTGGCCTCGCTCTGGCCTCCCTCCCTTACTGGCCCTCCCAAACCAGCTAAGGAGGATGCTGGATTGGGACCTGTCCTTCCCATTGCTGACCCGGAGGCCTCTGATCTGTCCTACCTCGACCCTTCAGATTATTCAATTCTTCGTTTCCCTAGGGGTCCCCTGAACTCACCTTCTTATGTCCCTCCTTCGACTGCCCCCCTGTCTTCAGACTCTACCTCTTCATCCACCCCCTCCTTATTGAGCCCCCCTCTTACTCGTTCCCATGCAACTCAGCCTCCAGCCCTTGTCCTTCTCTTCCAAGAGGTGGCCAGGGCCGAGGGTATTGTCCAGGTACACATCCCATTTTCCCTGTCCAACCTCGCACAGATCGAGGCATCTTTTACTAGGGAAGTTGAGTACCTGACCCAAGTCCTGTGACCTGACCTGGCATGACATCTATGTCATCTCGTCCTCCTCTCTCACCCCAGAGGAGAAGGAGCACATCTGGCCAAGTCCTGCCCAAACCCAAGACCCCCCACCTGAGCCCTGCCCAAGGTGTAGAAGGGAAGGCTACTAGAAGTCAGACTGCACTATGGCCACTCCATGTTGGCCCTCCACAGACAGGACACGGTGGCTAACTCGGTTGGCACTGACGCAGTTCCTCAAACTGACCCGATGTGGGACTATCAGGTCAGTTCTCCAGGGCGCCGGCTCCATACCCATATGATCATCTGCTTCATTGCTGGACTCAAAAAAGCTGCCCATAGGCAGACAACTATGACCAACTTAACGAGATCATTCAAGGCCCTGAGGAAAACGCAGCTCTCTTCCTCTCCTTCCTCACAAAGGCCTTACAGAAATATACCCAATATACTCCTTAAGCCCTACCTCCCCAGAGGGAACCCACCTTCTGAACATGCATTTTATATCCCAATCAACCCCTGACATACAACATAAACTCTGAAATATAGACACAGGTCCACAGACCCCTCAAAAAGACCTCCTTAACCTGGCCTTTAAGGTCTTTAATAATAGAGATGAGGAGACACAAATCCAAAAACAAAGACGACATTAGGCCAAGGCTGAGGCCCAGAAGGAGGCCTTTCAGCTCCTAGCCACCACTCTCATGAACCCCAAATGAAGTGCCGGTCCTCCAACCAAGGCTAAGTCAGGGGCTAAGCCTCCTCCGGGCCCATGCTTCACATGCAACAAGGAATGACACTGGGCCAAGTCCTGCCCAAACCTCTAGATCTGGTTCAGGGCTCCCAGACAACCTGGGACTATCCACCAAAAACTGAGGCTGCCCAGACCCTGACAAGGCCCACAGACTTACATCACTGAGACAGAGCCTTGGGTAACAATTGTGGCAGGTGAGCCGATCTCCTTTTTAATTGACACTGGGGCCACTCATTCTGCCTTTCCCAAACTGGCTGGGACCCTTGTCCCCTCCTCAGCCTCTATTATGGGGGTTGACAGTCTCACAGCCATTAGCCACCGCACCTCTATACTGCATCTAACAGACACCCCCTTTATCCACTCTTTTCTTGTTCTACCGCACGTCCCCTCATAAAGCCCAGTTGTCCTGAACCACAGTCATCTGCCCCAGTTTCACTCTCACCCCACAAAGATGAGCCATTACCTTGAACCATAAATGCTTTATCTCCTCCATTACTGTCCCCTCCTCTAACTTTTGTTACAGAAAATCTATAAAGTAGAGTTGGAACTGTTAATGTAATGTCTTGTGCTTTGTTGAAGGTGTGTTTTTTGAAAGTGAGAGTGTTCATAAATGTCAATCTAAGAAATGCTAAATGTCTACTTTTTGGTTAAATGCTGGTTACTTACTTTTTTGATTATCATTGGAAAATTAAGGTTTCTAAGAGTTAACAATTCTAATTAAACTGGAAAAGAATTGTATGGTTTTAGTAATAGAAGGCTTGAGGCATGGACATGCATTTTGAAGGAAAAAGAAAGTGATTTAAAATTGTAAGAAGATTCATGAAGTTGTAAGAAGGCTTGTTAAAATTGTAAAAACGTTTGTGAATGTTATAGAAGGTCTGTAGGGAGAAGTGTCAAAAGGAAGTTATATAAATGACATAGGCCAGTAAGTCAGAACAAGCAGGATAGGGAAACTGAGAGAGTTAAACAGCAGTTTGCAGCTATCTAGTAAATTCTATCTTCCCTAAACCAAGGACAATTAAGAGTAACTAATTTGCACTATTCCTCCCCAGCCAGAGGGTAAATAGCTTACATCAACGTACTCAGGGAGACAGACAGCAGAAATCCAGTTAGGGCTATTTGCTGACCACACCCAAGGACAAATGAAGTTAAGAGAATAAACCTCATCTATAATAATAAAAGGGTAATATGCTAATTAGACCAGGAGCCCTTCTGGACAAAGCCATGGTGGCAGGGCCGAGGCAGAGGCGGTTAGGGGCAATCAGGCCAGGAGGGGAGGGCAGTTGGGGGCCATCAGACGGGCCGGGGAGGACAGTTGGGGACCATGTGACCAGCAGAGGGAGGCAGTTGGGGGCAAGAAGGCTGGCAATGGGGGCCAGTTGGGGGTGATCAGGCTGGCAGGGGGAGTAGTTGGGGGCGAGAAGGCCAGTGGGGGGGAGGGGCAATTGGGAGCAAGCAGGCCAACAGGCAGAGTGGTTAGGGGCAATCAGGCAGGCAGGTAGGTGAGTGGTTAGAAGCCAGCAGTCCTGGATTGCTAGAGGGATGTACGACTGCGGGTTTAGGCCCGATCGCTATGGGACATCCTCCAAGTGGTCCCAGACTGAAGAGGGTACAGGCCAGGCTGAGGGACACCCCCCCCACACCCATGCACAAATTTCATGCACGGGACCACTAGTTTTGGTATATTAGACTACAACCCTCCAAACTAAATGTCTCCTTCCACCAAACTATTTGTCATAATTCTTGTTGGTCTAAATTGTTTCAGTAATACTAAAATTTATAAAACAGCTTGTCTCCGCCAAGTTACATGCCCTCCTCATACTCAGGAAATAATGCCCCTGGACACCATCACAACCTCCTTTTGTGCCCAGGCCTCATCATCCTTCTGACAGAGCAAGGATTTTGGCTCTGAAGGGAAATGTCATCCCCTTTCATCAGAGAGAATTCAGGGCCAAAAATCATTGAGGGTGGGGGGGATGTAGACCCTGAGACCCCCAGAGCAAGGACGATGGGCCAAGTACAGGTATAGATGGGTCAGAAAACTTTGGATGCCTAGCAAGGGACAAAACTGGAAAAACAAGTACCTTGCCTCCCAGGGTAACCTATCCTCCCCTTTTATATCACTAGTCAGGCAGCTTAGACCCTTGATCTTTTCCTCCCTAAAGATAACATCTGGGCCTCAGTTGTATTTCAGCTCCAGGCCCAGAAAAGCACCAAAACCAGACAAGTGATGCTGTGGTGGCCTCAGGACCAGCTTTTAGCTCCCACGTCACTCAACAGGACTTCACCAACCAGTCTCTTGGGGAAATCATGCTGCTACAACCCCTCACTACGAACCATGAGAAATCTACACAGTGTGCCAGCTGACTATAATCAAAGTCCATCCCCTCATGATCTCGACATCCCATCTAAGCAGGAAATAACTAAAGAAGATATTAATAACCAGAATGGTAAGCGGAGGGTTTTTCCCAAGGTCATGCCTTGCAATGCCAAAGAATAAGCTCCGAGAACCAGAAGATTTAAACAAAAGTGTGGAAAATGTATTATAAGCAGATTCAGACTCCCCTCATGGGGAGGGAGGCCCAATAATTGGCTGCCCCCTCCAGAGCCTTGTAATCCAGGAGTATATATTTGCTACAAGCTTGCTTCT